TGCTTGGTTATGTGCCTTTTGGTTGATGGTATAGAGAGAATGAGGCAGAGTGAGCAGGGACAGGATTGAATTAAACTGAATTAAAGGCTCACAATATTCTTTATTTTCTTTGCCGAGCAGTATTGTGAATCAATGACTTCATTTGAAGGTCAACTTTTTCATTTCGTGGAGCAAGTTTTATTTAGTTATTTATTTATTGCATGTTACTCCCAGGTAATTGAAGCAAAGGTTTTTAAGAATGACAATATAACAGATGAAGAATTGGTTTTCTTTCTTTTTTATCTTATATCATCATGATTTTTTATTTCTTGAATTTGCATTGTTTATAAGAGTAAATTGTATTTTCTTGTCGAGAGGCAAAGCCAAATTGATTTGAAACAACAACAACAATGAACATTATTTGTGCAGACCTCAAAAGTTGAAATCAAAAGTCAGGACTCTATTGGGAAAACAAAAAAATAATCTTACTGCGTTCATAAATATTTTAGCCGATTTGTATTTTAATATATTTTTAAGCTGATAGGCCACTCCTTCTGGGTGGCGTATAGCGTAGTTTACCGTAATTCATTTCCAGTTTTGTTCAGCGAGTGGATTTTCTCTTGGAGTTCAGACATTGAATTCATTTGCCTGCTATATTTGTTTTCAAAGTTGGATGTTCTAATCTACACTTTAACGTGGTTCCAGCCAGACGTCAGTGAAAAGTGGACTCGACCACCGCAAGCATTTAATTCCAGTGTTAAACACGCTATCCGTGTAAGTCTTAGGTTAGGTTAGCGGTTAGCATGGCTTTTCCATCTTTTCTTGTCATCCCTTCGTGAGAAGAATATTTATGTAGCTTATTTACCACCATGAAGGTGATGATTAATGACTCGAGCAAATCTGCAACGTGTTATGGCACATTAGTATCCAGCAAAGCTTGTTATTATCTAGCAGGTTGTAGTGTAAGTAGCACAGAGCTTGCTTTGACTACCTCCATCTCATAGATAGGTGACATAAGCGCGTTGCGGCGCCAATAACACGCGTGCATCCAGTGCAGACGGATATAATAAACCGGACTGCCATTCGCCTGTCGCAGATGAAGCCAAAGGGCAGCCATCTTGCCTTTCTACTCTTACTAACAACTGCATTTTTTTTTTGTTTTTTTTTCACTGAAAACACTGCAATGAATTTGTGTTTCATGCAGGATTCCGGTATGGAGTAATGAGACATTCTCAAAGAACAAACATCACCATTTGATTTGATCATTTTGAGTGTAACTCAACAATGTAAATTGTGACTTACATTTCACAGCAATTTTTTTCTTGAAGGACTTTGCTTTCAGTTTATTGTTCATAGTTCTGACAACATGATGCAGACAAATATTTGAGTAGTACTCTGGTAAACCTTCATAGAAATATGTTTATATAACCTTTCGAGCCCTCACATTTTGACACGTCGGGAACTTCAAAGTCAAGTTTTCAAAGTAGTTGCTTCTAGGGGGCATTCTGACAAAGAGATCACTCGTGTAGCAGGCACAAAAAACTCTGAAATGAATCTCAGAAAGCCTGTGTACATTTAACCTGTGGAGGTACTACAATTTATCTGCCAAGTATCCTTCTGCTTTTATTTTTCATTTAAACATAATTAAAGGAGATTGAGAGAGACAGAAGACGCCTATATTGTATTAGATAAAAAGCTTTTTGATGAATGTGACTTTTGGTAGAGCCAATTTGACACGACAGCCTTCAGAACAAGCTCAAGTCAGATTAAAACCAAGTATAAAACAACTCCACGAAACAGCTAAGTGATTTACATTGGATCACAGCACACAGCAATACATGTTACATCTCATGTCACAGAAGGCTAAGTAGCTTGTCACTGTGGAAGTTGCCTCAAATGTATTTGCTGAGCTCTACCTTGCCATTCATAGATGTACAGCTTATACTTTTGCTCTTGGAAAAAGCAGAACAAATCAGCCCAATGGAGTCATGAATGCTGGGACAGAAACCAACTCCATCCCTATTTTCGACGGAGTACCCCGAAACCACAGCTTGGGCCAATTTTGACTGGCAGAAAGACTGGAGTACTTGAGGACATGAAGGTAGCTGGTGTGAGAGAAGACAGGGTTAGATGGAGGCAACTTATTCGCTGCGGTGACCCCTGAAGGGAAAAACCGAAAGGAAAAGAAGAAGAAGAAAGACTGGAGTATATTATAGACTGCATACACACACACACACACACACACACACACACACACACACACACACACACACACACGGAAACATATGCCATGCTTTATATAACTCACCTTGCCCACACATCCTTTCCTATTGGCTCTTTTTTATAAGATGCTTTCTGGTCAAATGTGCCCTCACATCACAGAGAGACAGCAATGTATGTACTGAAGCAATCACACACTCCCCACACAAATCCGTGAAATCCGCGTGAGCCGTTCCCGAAGAAAGCCCTGCACTGACAGCCCCCTGTTGCCCCATACATGGTGCCTAACATCCATCACTGCTAACGTCTTTATCCACGGGACAGATGGATTGCAGGGAAAGCATATTGTCAGGCCATCATAGGGGAGAACATTTTGAGGTGCTGTGGGCAGAAAGAATGGTCTGAGCGAGAGTGAGAGAAAAACCAGTCTTGTTGTCATTAAGGTTGAGTGACAGGGGGGGATAAGGTCCATCACCACCTTGTTATGGGGAGCTCAGGGAAATAGACCCAGTGAAACATTGTGCGGAATTAAGTGAGGGCTGACATGTGCAGACCGAGCAAGTGGGGAGAAAGAACATGTAGAATCAGTATGTTCTTGTGGAGGAACAGATAATATAAAAACAATTTAAAAATCACAGATTGCATGTGGGATGGAAAGGTTAGAAAGGTCCACCTGCAGAAAAACACTTGGTGAGTGAATATTAAACATTTGGTTTGGTAACAGTCTCAGCTAAAATTGGACTCACAACATCTACTTAAGTGCAGTGTGAGCAACAAACAATTTAACACAGTATAAAACCCAAGAGGCCATGCACTGAACATAACAATAGACTATAGCACGGGTGTCAAAGTCAAGGCCCGGGGCCAGATCTGGCCCGCCACATCATTTTACGTGGCCCGCGAAAGCAAATCTAGCATGTCAACATCCATGATGCTTGCTTAAGTTTGAACCAAAATTTCAAATTGTCATATGTCATCCATAATAACGTCGAGATAGTGCAAGCATGTTCCCGTTTCCAAGCCCCTTATTACATTAACATAAACAATGTTAAAACAAGTCATTATTCTTGACTTCTGATTTCAAAACTCGGTATCCATCAGTTTGTTTTGTGCTGTGTATGTAAGATGTGGAGGTGATTAAACATTGATATGGTTTCACAAAATTAACAGTCAGAACGGCCCTCCAAGGGAAACTGAAACTACAAAGTGGTCCGCGACGAAAATGAGTTGACATGAGCGACACCCCTGGATTGTAGTATCGGGGAATATTTTTAGGACTCCTACTTATGTTGCGACTTTGGCATCCAGTATAAGCTGAAGCATATTTTTTGTTTTCAGCTTATATTTGGTCACTAGAAGGTCTTGAATAAGACACAGAATTCAACTTAAAGAAGGAATTCTGGGAAGTCAGTACTGGAATGAGGTGATGAATAATTCAACGAGTTAAAGCTTGGGTGGAGACAAAAATCCTGCACACAAACAACCTTGCAAATAAACTTGCAGTACGTTGGTGGTCACTTGAGATGTCATTTATAATTCACGGGCAGGTTGAAAACCATTGGGGTCTGGGAAAGGACTAATACAGGGATCTGAGAGCACCTTCAAACACTTGCTTTTTAAAAAGCCCATTTCTCTATGCTGTTAACCGGCTCTCTTCCCAGTGAGAAATGAGAACATTAACTGGGACATGGACATGGTGCACTCTGAACGGCCCTGCTAAGCCCTCTGAGCTGTAACATTTCACGTCTGAGCTGTGCTCCTTACAAGTACCCCTGACATCCAAATGCATCATGGGAGGGCTTCAAGGGAGTTTGGTTGGGGCAAAGTGTGATAAGTTTCAAAAACAGATTGCATCTAAGGGCATTTCCATTAACAACCACACAACATCAATGTTGCAACTGCACCTTGGGGCGCAGGCAGCATGCAGCGGCTATCGACACATCCATCATTAGGTGCAAAAATGGGCACTGATTGTAAGCTTTAAATAAATAAATAAATAAATAAATAGAACACATCTATTTAAGATTATGGCCGTCAGGCAGATTTATTCTGTTTTGCAAATGCCTCGAGGCACTGCTGACTAAACAAACCATCATTGACAGAAAACATGCTTACTCCCACTCTTGCTCATGATTCCATTATCTTGCCTGTGCACCCATATTACCCAATTAATAAGATGTCTTCTTACAAGATTTGTAGACTCTGTGATTCTTGTTGGCCTTACCTTGAGCGTTTATTTGGGATTTATTATTTTTTTTCATACAGCAAGGTCAAGGTGATCCCGATATACATTTGAGTGGGTGTAAAGGAGCGTGTAGATGTGTCAAAAGGCCCTCTAAAGTTGCATAATGTAGCATAAATGACTTAACGGCATAAACAATTTGTTGCGTAACAGTGCAGTAGTATTGTTGGATGACAGTTCTCTATCCTAACTTTATGGAATTCTTTGATATTTTGTTGTTCCAATCACTAAAGCAGACATAACCATAAAGATAACTTGTTAGTCAACTGCAGTACTACAATTCTACTGGACCCAGTAGTTGTTTTGTTTTAAAAAGTGATGACAAATTAATACCCAACAACCAGAACGGGTTTCAATCTTGTTTATCAGGACGTTGAAGTGTCCTGCAACCTGCATCAGAAGTTAGACCTCCTTTTGTGCAGTAGATCAACAACTCCCTCACTATTTGCAGAGCATCTACACTGTAATGGGGTAAAAAAAAAAAAAAAAAAAATCCTTCAACAAGAGCAATGTGGTGGGGGGCGGGGGAGGATCGGGGTCCAAAATCAGTGTTTCTCACCAGCGGATGCGTGAACTCGGGTGCATGGTCGTTCTTGTCTGTAATTGTAATGGTTGCTGTGGCTGTTCCTGTCAGGCCCACCTCACTTCCAGCCATGTCCTTGGCAACAATCTCAAGCTCATACGTTGTGGTTGGCAGTGTCTGGAAAACAAAGAGTAATGGAAATTAGACATGTGGGATAAAAGCGAGAATCAGGAATAGGAAACTATAAGGTACAGGATATTATCGAGATCATCTGTTTTGAGATGTTTTATTACAGTGCATGAGAAATGAATGTCATTTCGTAACAACTCGCTGGTTATGTGCCCCTGGTAGAAAACTTTTTGTGGGCTTTTTTTTTTATTCCCAGTGCAAGTCTGCCACCCATGTTTGTGGAGCGCAGAATCTGTCGTCATCTGGATCAAATTCACTAAAATTGTGTTACATTCCCTTTGCCAAGAGACCTAATTCTAGTAGACTACTTTCAGCCAACAAATTGTCAGGTGCAACGGGTGCATGTTAAAGGAAACACCCTTGGTCGGCCAGAACACCCAGAATGGCGCAGAAGGATGAACCAAATTACCAAACAAGCACATTAAGGTGCGCATTGGCACGAAAATCAGGATACGTTTTTTACGCCGAGTGCAGCTGCGCTGTCTAATTTTTTTGTTGTTGTTTTTTTAGTTGGTATTCATACATCTGAAAATGACCATCTTTCATATACAAATGTACAAAAAAATTGATATTTTTTATGTTGACTCGACGAATATGCTTTTTTTATGCAATTATATAAATAAAAATATTATGTTCACATATTGTAAAACTGTAACTGCATGTAATATACTGTACATCACATACGTTTCAATAGAAAACTAAAATTCTGTATATATATATATTATATATATATATAATGAGATAAGACTCGCCATCCAATTCATACCGTCTCCATTCTGAACGGACCACATTTCACAAATGGCACCGAGTCATATTGGTTTTCCAATATGCAGTACAAGCCTGATTTACAGCCCCACAACACTAGTTAAAAAAAACACTCACTGTAAAAATGGCAATAAAAAAAAAATGATATGCAGTATCCCACTACACGATGGAATCCATTACATCCCAAAAATGTCCACATTCTAATCCTCCTCCAGAAAGTGCTGATGCAGTAATCCGAGTAGCCAGTAAAACATCCTTCTCCATTATCCTGCAAAAACGAGATTATTCAAAATGCTAGCGATGATGATAATCTGAATTTGTTGGTCGTGTAAATTCTTCCTTTCTTAAGCATCCTATTTGTGTAGAAACAGCAATTTGTATGTTGTCTTTGCACTTGGCCTAGACAAAAAGGTGTTCTTAAAAGTTGAGTGGATGTATTTGAGAAAAAGCATAAATTCGATCTACTGAAACTGTCTGTCTGTCTACATATTATCATGATTTAGTCAATCTAACCATAGATATCACTTTGATCAATACTTCAAAACCCAGAGTAATCCAAGATACAGTATTTGCTGCTGTCATTATTGCTACAAAACATCGAAGGCAAAATAAAATAACAAATTTACTCTCACATCCAAAGTGATGTCTTATCCTTCTACATTCAAATACAATCAAATGTGTTGGAAGATGTCTTTCCTGGAAAGACATTTCTTCTTGAGCTTGTGCCTATGTTGTCGAGGAATGAAATGTGAAGTGAGAGGATTGCAACCCGAATAATCCCTTTATTTGCCGGAATCCATGCCTGACAGGAATGTTGAGTGGAGTGAGCAAAAAACAGGTGCTTGGCTATGGTAGAGCTAACACCTCTGTTACAATATACTCTGCAGTCATTCTCCCCCGAGCATTCCAACAGGATGCTTTAGACATTGCTCTCTGAAGCCATCACCATGAACTGAGATACGATAACCCAAGAAATGAGGATATGCAGTTGGGTGCTAATGTTAGCTGCTAATGCTGACAAGCTAACAAGTAACTCGTCAAAGGTCAGGTCTAAATGTTATAGCGTTTTTTTATTACTAGTGGTTAACTTGCTTTTACAAGTTCCAATGGTACAATAATGCCTTTCATAACATCTTGATGTAGCCCTCTGCATTTGTCATGAAAGTTAAGAGTTTTATCTTTTTCAACAAATGTATATGAGAGCATCAACTCTGTTCAAAAAATAAATGAACACAAATAAACAGCATAGAGCAGCATGTTTGTGTGCGCGTGCGTGTGCGTGTGTGTGCGTGTGTGTGTGTGTGTGTGTGTGTGTGTGTGTGTGTGTGTGTGTGTGTGTGTGTGTGTGTGTGTGTGTGCTGTTCGTGCGTGTGTGTGTGTGTGTGTGTGTGTGTGTGTGTGTGTGTGTGTGTGTGTGTGTGCTGTTCTTGATGGTGACACCAGCGAGTGCAAAACAGCCTCGATTCAAACAGTCGAAACTTTGAAGAGTGGTCAACCTGCTCTACCAAATGAGCCAAAGGCACCCAGCAATGTGCTATTGTTGCTCTCCTGGTCGCTGGTAACACCAGCAAGGCTCCAGCTGGTCACCAGCTTTCACCAGGTTCTGGCTGGACCCCAGCAACCTGCTGGGCGGCTGTGGCTCAGTTCAGAGAGCAAGTTGGCCAGGGACCGAATGTTCAGCTTTCTGAATGTTGGCTCTTTTGTTTTGCTTTTGCTGCTGCAGCTGTTTTGACATACACAAAAACACAACAAAACCATGCTGGTCTTTGCTTTATTTTTATTTATTTTAATTTTTAGAGAGAAAGCTACAATAAAACTTGAAACAGTGAACAGTCTTAAGTTGCTTTTGAATCAGATTGCTCTTGTATTAAAAGAAGGTGTTAAAATAAATGTTATACTGTATCATTTGGAGCTTTTTAGAGAGACGGTACAAAAAAAAAACCCAAAACATCTGAAGGCCATGATGTCAAATTACATTTTGTTACGTCTTGTGCAATGTTAGTGTTACTTGGAGCACTCCTTGAAAACTAAAATTTGGCCTCAATGTAACAGACTTTATTAAACAGTATGTTCAAAGTAATCACAAGAAACTCGTGCTTGTTTTATTTTTCAACTAACGTTATGGCGTGAAGCTTTTCATGAGGGCTTTAAAACCAGGATGCCTTTTGGACATTTATAGGCTGGTAATCTGCAGAGCCCTGCTTGGGTTTCAGACCTCTTGTAAAAGAAACAGTCACACTCCATCCATTATTTTCTATTGATTATCTTGTTCAGGGTCGTGGGTGATGTATCCTGGCTGGCGGGGTCCACACTGAACAGGTTGCCAGTTGATAAAGGACAGATTAATACAACAAATTTAATTCACATTCACACCGAATGGCAGTTTCACTCCTTCCTCAGTTCTCAAAAATAATTGGAAAAAGTCTTTGCGATAAAATTAAATCACCGCATTGAAAGCCGCCACATTTTGAACTCACAACGTGGATTTAAGTCAAACGGGTCAACTGCAATGGAATGCACCGTCTTTGACGTTGCTGAAGCAGAAATAGACTCGCCGGAGTTCATGCTGGAAATCTCGATGCATGCAAACTCCATCGATAAGGAACTTCAAGTAGCCCTCCAAGTGCATGATGTAAAGATTGCCAGGGTGATCAGAGATCACTGCTTTTCCACCCAGATAGTTCCTGGCCGTGTGTGTAGAGCTCAATTTGTATCAAATGGAATAGCATGAAATTACAACAAAAGATGACCCTTTTGTAAGGGCCAAGTTGATTATCACAGCCAATTAAACTTTTTTTTAACCAAAAAAAAAAAGAGAGAGAGAGAGAGAGAGAGAGAGAGAGAGAGAGAGAGAGAGAGAGAGAGAGAGAGATAGATGCACCACTCACATTTTGCATCCGTATGAAGACACAATATAGCGAGTACTTCTACAATATTTTGAATGACGTAAAAGGGAAGAAACACACCTTGCCTCAGGAATTTTATGTAGCAACACAATTCAAACCCCAAGGCTTGTAGTATCTCCTAAACTCTATCCATTAAAGCGGCTGCTCCCGGGGAGCTGGGAAGAAGCCCGAGACAATAAACAGGTGTTCCTATCAATAGTTTGTCACACATGAGTGAAGCTCAGAAGCTTTTGATTGACCAAATGCTGCGAAAGCAGGTGGTGCTCTACAGACCTGTGAATCAAACGCACCATGACACACTTCATGAATAAACACACACACACACACACACACACACACACACACACACACACACACACACACACACACACACACACACACACACCCATGCACTTGTATACAGACATAAACTTTTGCCCTCCAGCTGGAAAAGAGCTGGGCTCTGGGATGGTAGCAGTCTCAGTGGTGTCTAAATACACTGCTTGTGGTCTCTTCTGGAGCTTGACAATGTCTTAATGAGACTTTCACAAGTCTCAACTCAATTATAACGTCTTTGCCAATTCCTGGCAGAGAAAGGATGTTTCCGTCTCCTCAGTGCTAGAGTTAGAGCAAGACGGAATTTTCTCTCAAAGTGCAAGAAAAAGTGTTGATTGAGATACTTGTCTATTTCAGCACCTTCAATTTTCAGCTCCTTTTGTATCTTGCCAAACACCTAATGAAATCACACCAACAGACACGCAGGTGTGGAGGTAATGAATATGCCTACAAGATACCCCTAATATCTGAAAAGGGGTGTCTTAATACAAACTAGCCTTGGTTTGTCAAAATGCTACATTGCATAGAGATAGGTATGAGTCACGAGTCCCTCAAGTACTTCTAGTGTATGAAATTATTTGAAAAAACCATAAAGCCATGCATGATGTAAATTTCTGAGCCACAACTGATTTTAGAAAGCAATTCTGTTTGTCAAAGAGGTTGAGAAATGAGAGGAATGAAGTGGCGCACGCCACATGATATGGCAAGCCTTGTGAACACTTCTGATCTGAGAATGACATTTCCGAGTGTCACACTCTGCCATGAAAGGATTTCATCAAAGGAAGGGCTGATCACAGAAACAAAGCAATGAGGGAGGAGGGGGTGAGAGGAAGCAAGGCAGGCGTAGTAGATCGGGAGGAAGAGGACGAGAAGAAAATGAGGGAAAGAGAGATGCTGGGATACCACATGAGACAAAGCATCAACTTGCTGGACATGATCCAATTTGCAGGGAGTACTTTGTCTCCTACGGCCACTTGTCACTCGATGCACCAAATCACGGGC